GGTCCAGTTTGTGGTCAGCATCATAACGCGTTGTCACCGTTATTCAAGCTGACATCCATCTCCTGTACTACTCTGCACAGTGACAACTTCCGAAACTTTGTGTCCGTCATCCGGCGGGCCAAGAACAGGCCAATGATAGGCCTGCGGGTCGTGGAAAGCAGTGATCACAATCAGCTCTAATCGCTGCTGTGACGTGGTCTGATAATGTGGTCCCTTGGAAGTAAGCGCTTGGACCTTAGTTCTACGCCACAGTACGGCTTGACTCCCATCCGGGCATATCCGCGACCCGCATCTCAAGGTTCCAACAAGGAAATCCTATCAAGAGGCAACATCAATCAGAAGAAGGGCAGTTCGAAAGCGAATGATTCATCAATCCCAACTTTAATATATATAGGTCCAACAAACATTAAGGACAGCATATCGCGTCCGAATTAGTTTAGTGGCTATGACGGCGCCTTGTCAAACAAATCTCCGCGTTTAATACGGCGCAGACCCGGGTTCAATTCCCGGATTCGGAGTAACTTCTTTTTGGCTTTTGCCGTTCCACTTTGGACGATGCCTTAGTTTCGCTTTCTTCTGGTCAGGAGGTTTGAAATAACATGGCTAGATGGTGTTCGCGGCTTGCAGCCCCTCCGTGACGGCAAGGACGCAGGAACACATGTCAAACCTCATCGTTGCTGTGCAACGGTAAACAAATTTGAACCTTTTTCTCTGCAGCCGACGTTGGACCCTGTCTTCTTGCGACACTTATATCCAGCTTACAAATGTCCTCAGTCAACGAGAGCTGAGACTGAGAGCCAGTTCTTGGTTGCATTGGACCTCCTTGATGTTCGGATGAGGGTGACCAACATGTTGCTTGCTGAAGGGTCCCTGGTTTCAATTTGTTTGCTGACAGTTGGTGGACTGCTTTCCGTTTCAATGCGGACGTCTCCGTGCACCGCAACGAAGCCGTCTCTGGCTGTTAGCCTGGCCTTCTTTGACCATTATCAGCTCCCTACCTCTCCCGCAATCACGGCTCACAAAAAGCAAGCGTGACACCATGGCAAGGTCGTTTTCATAAGAAGCAAAAAGAGAAGATCTTTCTTATTCTCCGAATCCGGGAATTGAACCCGGGTCTGCGCCGTATTAAACGCGGAGATTTGTTTGACAAGGCGCCGTCATAGCCACTAAACTAATTCGGATCCGATTGGTGCGCGATTTCCGCTACATAACCCATATGTAACATCAGCGCTTTCTGTGTAATTTTCGATGATGAACAGGTTGGATATAAAAGAGAACATCTCCGGCATTGGTAAGCATGGCGACATGCCAAGCAAAGGCTGCTATTTTGGTGCTAGTGTATAATGCAGTCGATGAGTCGTATTGCGAAGAGGTCAGCCAAATTGCTGCCAAGCCAAAAAATTGATCTGTTCCTCCTCCAGCAGATGTATTGGGATGCCATTCTCGTCCATTAACAGCGCAAATCCAGGCCTTCCATCTTCGTGGCCCCTGTCTCTCGCTTCATTTACACCTCTCTCCCCCTGCTGTCCATGCTCTTGCCGCCGAGGATCCTGATCACCCAACAAACCATCAAACAGTCGATGGTAGCACTCGTACCCTGGCGTATTGAAATGTCCATAAGGATTCTGAGCTGAAATCGCCTTCCCGCACAAATAGCAGTAATGCGTCTGACAGCTCTTGCAAGTCATATGATTACAACCATAGCTCTTCTCAATGGCGATTCCACAGGTGGGACAGGGGGTGGTGTAGTCGCTGAGCCACTGTTGGGTTTGTTGCTCTTCTTCGTATTTGCGGACCATAGTCTCTAATGTTTTGCGGCCGAACTTCTGCTCCATGACCCTACGCTCGGGTGAAGAGGTGGGGAGGGAAAGGTACCGTCGAATGAGTTCGGATTGGAACGAGACGGGGCATGAGGTCAGGCCATGCCAGGAACGTGAACACCACGCACAGAAGGCGAAGCCGCAGGAGAGACATTCGCGGAATCGTTCCCAGTGACCGGAGTTCTCATCTGTAGCGAGGCGGACGACGGCGGCTTGACAGCCAGAGCGTGGACAGTAGGAGACGGAAGGATCAGCCTCCATTTTTGCTTTGACTGTGAGCTCTTCGAGGCGGGCCAGGCGGGATGGGCCGAGGATGGAGTGCAGTTCGTCACGGGTCACGAGTCCGACTACTACTGCTGGCTCGCTGTCTGCTCCTGCGTCCCCGTTCTGTGCAGTATTATTGTCTCTGGAGAAAGGCTGTGGCGATCGAGGTTTGGGCTTGCTGGAAGGACTCATAACGAGATTGCCCTCCTGATCGACCTGATTCTGTTTCTCTCTCTCGCTCCACAGCGTGACGCACTCCGGTTCAGGGCAGCGCTTCGCTTGACGGTGGAATCCATCATCGACCAAGCTCGAGAGATAGCCTGCGAGGCACTCTGAACAGAAGACATGACCGCAGCCGGTGAGCCGTGTGCAAGCGCGGCCTTTGCGTGTCTCAAGACAGATAGCGCAGTCGAATGAGGAAGCATCAAAAGTAGTGCGGCTGCACAGTCGTGAATGTGAGAGGAGTTGTGCTGCGAGCCGTGGTCGGTCGTCCGGTGTCTCGAGGTGCTCCTCGAAGCGTAGCTTTGCTTCTGTCGTGTCAGATGCTGATAAGTCTGGTGGCTGAAGAAAAGGTGGGACGTCCTCTGGAGAGGGCTGGTCTTCGAGGAGCTGAATCCATAAGCCTTCGGAGAGATAGGTCGCCCAAATGTAAAGTACTTCCAGGCCAGCCATCTCATGATACTGCTCGTCAAGCTTTTGCTGGAGCCAGGTGAGAGAGGAGTGTTTGCGGTGTATGTTCGTGGGAAGCCATGGCGCTGTGAGTATTTCGACGATAGGTGGTTGCTCAGATGGGTAAGTAGAAGGCAGGCGGACCTTCAAAGTAATGGGTGCTAGATGAGAGAGGGCTGGAAGTTGCTTTGTCGTTCGTGGCTGAGAGCGCTGTGTTGGCGGGTTGGATGAGAGTCCGTTGCCGGTTGAAGGGCCTGCAGGAGGCTCAGACCGCAGGCTGATCCGTCCGACAGCATCGACTGCCTCTTCTATTGACGCAGTAGATGCATGATACGAAAGCGACGTTGTTCGACCCACTTCGGAGCTCTTCGCTGAAGCGCTTCCGCCTGGCTGAAAGACGTTTGCACCTGCATTGAGGTGACCATCTTTGCGAGCTCGATTCCTGCCATTACGCTGCTTGTCCTTCGCTGCCGGCGGTGTTGTTGTCAAGTCCCTTGCTACAGGTGCTAGTTGTTTAGGTGGTGTTGTGAAACTATTGATTTCGTTGCGTGTGGGAGGAAACGCTCCCGTGGTTTGATGTGTGTCGTATGCGTACGTGTCTACGAGGATTCGAGTGGGTCGTGGCAATGTGATCGGAAGGTATAGCTCTAGGACGGGTTCCGGGTCTCTCTGTATCAACTTAACTCTTGGCTCAGCCGGCCTTGAGCCTTCGCTCGCATCCTCATCGCTGCCTTCAGGAAAAGCAAAGATGGACTCCAAAGCGACGATCTCGTCCTCCTGCCGTTGGCGGCATTCCTCGAGCACGTCATCCATCTTGCTCTGCTATAAGTGTGCTGGTGCACTCATGTGAAGGCAGACCTGCTGCATTTGCTTTCGAGAGACGTAGTGCTACAAATGATGAGGCTGAGAAGAAGTTGAGCATGATGAGCGGAAGGAAGGTTGTGTCGCCACCTGGAGCTTGCGGAACAGCTCAGCTCAAAATGCAGTTTGATTGCCGAAACGCTTCCGCAAGCTGAATAATAAGATTGTGGCAGCAGAGCGAAGTCCTGTCCAAGCCGCAAGGTGGAGGTGATTTTAGAAAATTTGGCTGTGTGACTTCTCAAAAGAAGGGCCCAACTTTCTTCTTCGCGACCGGAAGAAACGCTCATCATCTCTTTACCATCCTCCATCCTTCCACTTCGTTCACCGCAGCAATCTAGGCCACAATGGTGCGCTTCAAGACCCGATGGCTGCTTCTAGCGATCGATGGCAAGCCACTTGCCACCACCTCACCCTTTGCATCCACTCTCGACGAGTCATCTCAGGAATCCGCCTCCGCAAAGACCCTTTCCGCAGCACAACAAACTCGCGCAGAAGCCAATGCAGCATCCGCACTCACACCTCAACTCATCACACGATTACTCCGTGCATCATTACTGTACAACTTTGGAGACGTAGCTGCGGGCGCGTTCGGTGGTGTACTTACTTGCAAGTACTACAGCACGCACACCGGCACTGCTATTTTACGATGCTCGCGTGATGCAGCAAGACTGGTTTGGGCTAGTGCGACATTGATTTCGAGTCCTGTGGAGATGGTGGTAGGAGAAGGTGCAGGCAGCTCAGGCAGCTTGAAGCTACCATCTTTGAGGATCAGGGTCATTCACTGTGGAGGTACAATCAAGAAGGTACAAAACAAGGCAATTGAGCTAGATAGTAAGTTGATTACGCGATTGAGGGCTAAGCAGAGGAAACTTGCTGCGACGGATACGAATCCAAAAGGGTCCAAGGCCTCAATAGCTCCGATTGTCGAGAAAGAGATCACTGCGGTCCCTGTGGTCTCACTTGCAGCGATAGACGACGAGGAGGATTTGGGAGAGGCGCTTGGCGCTGACAGCACTCTTGCAGCTGACGTACCCATGCCAGTACCAGACGCAGAAGCAAAAGGAGCAAAAGCGTCAAGAAAGGCGGTAACAAGCTCAGATCTGGATCCAGAAACGCAAGCGCTACTCGCACAGTCGCGGAAACAGATCAACTCGATTACTATCTGAAAAGCATCGATTCACCCTCCTTACATTCTCTTCCTTACTTGTCATGCAATATACCCGGCAGCATCTGCCAGAATCCATTCTATTGTTACACTGCGCCCCAGCCTGGCTATGTAATATCGAAGTGGACGCACCAAAAGAAACCAGCAGAAGGCCTTACAAGGATGAAGTCGGCTTCATGCGTATCAAAAATAAAATGATTGAAAATAAATTCTTTCATATTCTCCGAATCCGGGAATTGAACCCGGGTCTGCGCCGTATTAAACGCGGAGATTTATTTGACAAGGCGCCGTCATAGCCACTAAACTAATTCGGATCAGTTTATATTGAACTCTAAATTTAATTGCGCATATAAAAGACATTTTGCTTTTTTGAGGCTTGGAACCAACCTGCTGACCAGCTGAGACTCAGGATTCAACTCAGCTCATGTGTCTACGTTACGTAACAAAGAACAGCATTTGTGTTTCTAGCATTAATTTCGATATGTGTGTGATACAAGAAGTGATTTCTGCGAATGAGTGGTGAGCATTCCTACTCAGCATCGGTGAAGAAGCTAGCCAATCGTCGACCAGCCATCTGCAAGAAGCTCTGTCTCTCCCTCGCATTGGCGACAAGACTAGGTGGCAGTGACAGATACCCAATCTTGTCTTCAACCACAGGCATCAACGACTCGGCCAAGCCTTGCATCAAGTTGTTGCGGTCAAAGTGCGATCCTGGAGCTGGAGAAGCTCTGGCACCCACAGCGAGCTGGTTGCGATCCGTGCTGAGGGTGCGGAAGAACTCAACGTGCCTGATTAGCAGCACCAAGATCAATTCAACAGCGTCGAGCTTGGACGTGGAAGAGGCGCGAAGCGTCGACTTGCGAATGCGCAGCTGACGAAGAGCGACAGAGCGGCGTTGAGCCGGAGAAAGTTCGCCAGCGGAGAGCTCGCCGAGTGCATCGCGTGCGATCTCGTCAAGTTCGTCCTGACGGACGGGGTCGACGTTTTCGAGAAGCGTGTCGATGTTCTCGAGACCTTGGAGCTCCCTGGAAGCGGAGTCGGCGTACTCGTCAAGTGCAGCGACGAGACTGCCGATGCTAGGGACGCTTGAGAACGCTGCATTGGCGCGCTGCGAACGAAGGAAGCCGACGCGGGAAGAATCGCCGTCCTCGTCAGTTCCACCGTAGGGTGTGCGTGATCGTTCTCGGTTGGCTGTCAACGAGGGGATGAGGACGGGCCGGATACGAGCGTTACTGCCACGTGCATCGCTGGCCGCTTCAAGGTAGGAGAGAAGCGTCATTTGGAGTCTGACGACCATCGCGCAGACTTTGGCGCTGAAGGCGTTCTCCTCCTCAACACCGACACTGCCACCATTGGGTGCCTCGCTCGACGCGCGAAGGGCACGCAGATAAGTTGTGGGCATGCGAGCTTCTTCGCGCTCAGCTTCATTGTAAGGTACCACACGCGATCGCCAAGAAGCACTGTGCAGATAGACAGCAGCTAAGGCGAGGATAGCAGAACTGAACGGTGCCAACGGGCTGGGCGCCTGCTGCGCGTCGTCATCGAGCGAAGGCATGATCAGCACGAAGATGGCTACCGCCAAGTGAGCCTGTCCGAGCTGAGCGAACGAGCAGAACTCCTGCAGCGGAGCGCGAAGCACTGTCAGCAAAGCGTCCCGGTGAGCAGTCAACAACGCCAGCGCATGACGAGGAGCAGCTGAGGCTGAAGTTGGAGCCAACGCCTTGGAGATGCCGAAAGCGCCCTGACTTGAGCCACCGCCGAAGGCCGATGTGGCCGATGTGCTGGCTAGGATGCTGGTCGTAAGCTGCAAAACTGGAGTCAATAATGCATTGTAGCGCTCCGTAGCAGCGGGCAAGAAGCTGTCCAAGTCAACAAACTCCTGGTCCTGGTCCGGTCGTGCGGCAAGATAGTCGGACTGAGCGAGCACGTCAAAGACCTTGGCATTGAGGAGTCGCTCAGCGCCGTCACGGGTTTGTGCCATCCGGTTGAAGAAGGCCAAGCGTGCTTCATACACGTAGATGGCGTTGAGACTAGCAGGGTCCGGTCGAAGGGTTTCTTGCAGTGCCAAGTCGGAGTCTCGGAGGGCGGTGACGAAGCTCTTGATATAGCCCTTGCGGTCGAGCAGGTCGAGGCATCTCGAGCCTCCACGACGGGAAGAAGTACTGGACGAGGAGGGCGCATCGAGAGCGCAGAGCTTGTCAAGCAGTGTGAAGGCGATCGTCTTGGACAAGTCGCTGGCATCGAGTGCGTCGCGGCCAAGCACGTCCATAAGGCGTTCAGCGTGTGACAACAGCAACGTGCGTGTTCGTGCTTCCAAGCTGCTCGTCTGGGCACGACCGCCAAAGATGTTTGTCGTAGTGGTCGAGACGCCACCGACAGACATCGTCTCGTCCAGATCGGTCATGACGATCGATGCACCGTCGTTTACACCTGCTTCTCCACTAGCGTCGGGACCGTTGCCGGACTTCACCAGCTGGAGAAGGTTGATCAGCGCCGAGTAGAGGTTGCCGCGAGCCAAAGTCGTTGTCTCGAGTCGAAGCACTGAGTCAATGAGGGCACGCAATGTGGTCAAGAGACGATCGACCGGAAGAGCATCTACACTCTCGAGGTCGAGTGCGCCTGTAGTCAGCTCCGTACGGTGCTGTCGCAGGGAAGTGAGCAGTGAGAGCACTGCTCCAGCGACAAGATCTGCCGAAGGCACATCGAGACCACCAACATCAGTCGAAGGTGCCGAGATGCGTGGAAGCAGCTCGGACAGACAGTCAAACATGAGACTCGATCGAACCTCAGTGCGAAGCAAGCCTGCAGCGCGGGCCAACACCATGTCGAGGGTGTGGCGCCACGCTTGCAGTACACGTCTGCGAGAGAATGCGACAGCCTTCTTGGCGTTCTGAGCCGAAGCCCACTGAAGCACAAAAGCGGCTTGCTCGAGGAAGGGGTTGGCTTGACCTGCATCGCGAAGGCTGCCCTTCTGCTGAAGGAGTGTCTTCTCGCGCACAAGAATCCCTAGGACAGCACCGAGGTCGTAAAGGCGAGGTCCGACAGCAGCGTCGGGGCGCTTGGCAAGCTCGAGCTGCTCGGCAGTGATAACGCTGATGTTTTGGCCCAAAGCTTCGCGATCATCGTACCATTCAAAGTCTAGACGCTGGAGGATCTCGAGGAAGCGGACACCACCAAAGGTGCGGACCTCGGCACCACCAGCACCTAAGCGGAAATCGCGCTCAGTGCCGAGCAAGAGGTCATCCTCATCGACGCTATCGTCAGCGTCAAGACCACTGCCACCGCCAACGGTGGAGTTGAAACCGAAGAGGGCAGCCACAACACGAGCAGCCCGAGATTGCATGCCTGCGTTGAGGAGCGAGTGCAGCTCGAGAGCGGTGAGCTCGAGTAACGAGGCACGCATGCGGAGGGAAGCGGTGACACGATCGACTGTTGTCTCGATGGCTTGTCCATCTGCAAACTGCACCAGACCCAAAGCAGCCGAGCTGGCAGTCAAAGTTGCACGCTCAGCAGGCAGCAACGACAGACTGCGCAGCTGCTGAACGACGAAGTCCTCCTTGGTTCGCAGGTACCGCAAGGTCGCGGCGCTAGTGAAAGGATGTGTGCAGAGGCGAAGAATGAGTGCACAGCACTTCTCCACGAAGCCTGGCGATCGCTCGGCCAAGCTCAAGAAGGATGCACCTTCGCCGTCGGACTCGGGTCGCAAGAGTGCGAGAATGGCGTGAATCGCGCTGGGTGGAGCAGTTTGCGCATCGGGATCGATGATGACTTGCTCCTCGGGCCGCACTGCGTGTAAGTCGTATCCGAGCAAGAGGTGGACAACATTTGGTGCGGGTTGGTTGAGCTCCGTTCCGGCAAGCAAGAGGTTGACAATGGCAATCTGGATTGCCTCGACTGCGTCACCTGATGTCAAAGCCGCTGCGCTGTCCAACTTGCCGTTAGATGCGTGCAGATCAGCATCCTCATCGTCCTCCACATCAGCTCCCCCTGCAAGAGCGTTGAGGGTCTCGAGAATCTTTGCGCTACCTGCATCGACAGATGACTCTGCCTCGAGTCGACCAACATAGCCAGCTTTCACACGACCTGCCTCGTCACTCATCTCGAGCAAGCCGACAAGACGGTTCATCTTCCGTCGGTAGCCCATCTCGCCGAAGCGGTCAACAGCGCTGAACGCAGCAGTACGGGCGATGAGACCGAGCAGACGAACGGAAAGCAACGCAACGTCATCACGCACGCAGTTGATAAGCAGAGCGATCTGAACGACGGACTCGTGTGCGTGGAGAAGCTGAATATCGAAGCTGCTGTAGGTGGCGGAGTTTCCGATGCGCGCCGAGACGTCGAAGAGCAATTGAACGCCGTTGAGGTTGGCGTCGACAAGTGTGGGGATAAGCACTTGCACGAACAGGTCCTGGTAGCGGAGCACGCGGTCTAGGATGCTGAGGACGTGTCGGACCGAGCTGCCATAGAAGAATGTGCTGGCGCGGTTCTGGTTGATCGCCTCGAAGGCAGCGAGACCAGAGCCAGGGACGAGGATCCCGAGCATCTCACCGACCATCTTGGAGCCAGTAAGAATACGACGCATCAGGAAGAACCCAGGATGGGAGGCAAGCTGTGTGAGCAAAGCTGGATCAGAGACAGCGTCGGCGCTTTCGCTGCTGCGAAGGAGGGCGGCCAAGTCGTAGGATCGCAATGAGCGTTCGACGAAATCGAGACACGATGCAACAACGCGCCACTGCTCAGCAGGCTCGACGTAGTCACGAGTTCGAGCTTTGAGGAAGACGTGGTCGATGACAAAGTCGACGTAAGGCTCGACGGATCGGAACTGTCTGCGTTGGCTTGCGTGAGGTTGTTGGTGGCTTGGTTGACCATGTGATTGGATCTGTTGTTGCGACTGCTGGTCATATGCGACGATGGTGCTGAAGGGATTGGCGCCGGTTGCCGAAGTCGATGCGGTGTCAGCAAGCGCGTTGGAGCCTGCTGCGAGGAAGCTCGTCGGCAACTGCACGAGAGCCTTCAAGAAGTTGACAAAGCTGGTGGAGCCGGGGAAGGTGCGCAGTGGCACTTCAAAGTTTTCGAGCTCATACAGTACGCCCTTCGAAGCCAGCGGCTTGAAAGATGGACCGAATGCGCTCGATGGTGTTGGTTGACCATTGGGTCGGGACTTGGTGGCAGCATCGTCAGAAGGAAGCAGGCCGCACTCATCGAAACGATCCCAGAGCTGTGTCGCTATCGTCGAAAATCGAGCTCGGCCGGCAGGGTTGCTGGTTGAATGATGAAGGAAGGCTGAAAGCGCGTAGAGGATGCTGGCCTTCAG